GAAAGGTTTTGTTCCTCCCTCGCGGCGGCTCGATTACACACGCCGCCGGTGCTCTACCTGAGAGGGACCTGAGGGATGGCACCCGAGGCGGCGCCCACCAGTATCTCACCTGTGTGTTTTTACCTGGAAGGATTCGTGCTCCATTCTCACGCGCGCAGCCCTTAATCGCGAAACCGTTTTTCCCTTTCTTTGTGCGTAACCTTTAATTAGTTACGAAGCAGACAGAATAAAATATTAGAGCTCGTGCTTCTTTTTACTGCTTTTCCTTTCGCTCCCACACTCGGCAGTTAATTTTAGATCACCAGAAAAAAATATCAGAAGGAAAAAATGATTAAATTTTTACATGATAGAGAAAAAATTTAAATTGCAATCTTCTTTGTGGAAACTAGACGAAAATGATTTTTATATTTAATTTAACTATAATTTATGATGATGCCCAATCTTATATAAAAATTAATTTTAATAAGAAAATTATAATTAATTGATTTAAATAGCAAAATAAAGTAAATTTAAGTAATAATATTTAACTTTTAGTGCTTTTTGTTAAATTATTTGTAAAAAACCCAAATTTATATTTGAAAAATTTTTTAAAAATATAAATTTTATTATGATATTGTGCGAAATAGAAAGATATAAAACAAATTGTTTTAAATATTAATATTTAAAGGCATCTAAATAATTATAAAAAAATATTTTAAACCGGTTTTTTCCTTCTGATTTAAAAATAATCTTATTGCTTATTGATATTTAATTATCAAGTATTTAAAAGAAAAAAAAATAGAGAACTTAATATCTTTTTAGGTAAAAACATTTTTTAAATTTTTTATTTTAAATAAAATATGAATATTTTTTCCCCTACAGTAAGTTACGTTAAATGGCTCAGCTATTAAAATTTTCAACCAGTTATCTTATTCAAAATTTCAGTTGGAGATCGTGAAATCGCATTACTCATTTTAGTCTGGCTTTTTATCGCTAAAAAAAGGAAATGCGTCGTTAAAATCACACCATGTGCGATTAAAGCAGCAGCAGCACAAACAAAGCCGCAAAAGGTTCAAGGTTTTCACAAATAAATATATATAATAATTATTAACTTTGGATAAGATCTGCCGATTTCCAAGCGTGTGCTTATGCTTGCTGTTGGCAGCGGCTTGTTTTAGCATAAAATTCTATGGGTGCGCCGCTCGCTCGTGTGGCAGAAAAATATAAAGCGTCTGCAGCAGTTTTCGAGCGCGGCGAGAAAATAGCAGTGACAAATTTAATTTATTAACCAAGTGGTTCGGGTCACGGGTCAGCCGAGTTATAAAAACCTGCGCCTTGAAATAAAAATTCGTGGCAGCAGAGCAGAGAGCTAACGCAGATTAAACCAAATTTGGGCAGCAATCAGTGTTGGATTTCAACGTGCGCTGAGAGCATATAAATTTTTCTGGCTTAAAAAAAAACAGCGTAGGTGTGCTTAAGGCCCTCTGGATTATCGATGAATATTTTGATTTATAAATCTACATTGATTGCTTTGTCAAAAAATTTAAAATATACTAAAATGATAATTATATTATTTATTAATAATGTAAACTAAATATTTAATATTTCAAACTAAATGTTATCTTCCCTTATTATTTTGCCATTATTTCAGTTATACATATTTATCAAATTGCTTATATTTAAAAATTCCAGTATAACATTCTTGGGTTAAATTTTTCCTCTTTTGTTCCTTTCTTCCAGTGCTTATAATTGTTATTTTCCTTCTAGCATTATTTTGCTTCAACGTTGCAAAATTCATTTTTTTTTCTTTTTTGCATCAGCTTGTTGATTCTGAATGGGCGTGAGTGAAGTTCCTAAACTGTAAATTTTAAAATTGTATGTTTGCTGAAAGTTTCATTACATTTTTTTTTTTTGGACAAGAGGAACAAACCACGGCTAATTGCCGAACGGTGTTCGATTTGATAATTTACACGCGCGCACTCCACCCTCTCAACGGGTCTCTCTGCTCGGGTGTAAAAGCAAACAGAGCTGGCAATAAAATTCCGAGATGCGTGCCCATCGCAAGCCATTAGCATAATCAGCGTTTGTGCTGTTGACTGGAAGAAGAAAAGAGCGCCGGGCGACCAATGAGCACGGCGGCCACGTGTGTGGTAATTCTGTTATTTCTTTCTTTATTTATCAATAAAGTGCTTGATGACCATTCGTACCGCGCATAAAAAGGGACCTTAAGCAGAGTGTGATTTGTTAGGTGCTCACTTTATTGGGCGGTGTTGTTTTCTTTCTTGTTGAAATGAAACGCGCTGGGAGGTCGAGAACATGCATATATTGCGCGCGCCATCACGATATGACACCGGAGACATTCACTTTTGTGAGATCCTATCTCCAACTTCTCCACTTTAACCTCTCCATTTCCAGCGGCCAGAGATGGAGCTCGTCACACTGAACACGGCGCGCACCACCGACGTTTTTATTTCTTCCAGCCGGCCGGTCCGCCACACCGACCCAAGTGTGAATGAACATGAATTATTCACCTTTTTTATGGCTAAAAGGCGAATTTCCCCGAGAGCACGACATGTCCCCTGAATTTCTTATCAACACAAAATACGGGTGGCCACGATTTTTAATTCTCTGCCGTGCACGTAAAGGCTCCTTTTTCGCCCGGTGTTTTGACAATTTCCTCTAATATTTCACGCCTCTGTCTACGAAAAACAAGCCGTCGCGACAAATGGCTTCGGGATCCTTCGAAAACCTCTTAATTCACCTTTTTGTGCACCGGAGGTCCTTTTTATCTTGATCAAATAAAGCAATTAACTTTTTTACATCATCTTGACAAGCTATAGGCTTTTGAAGTGGGGCATTCGGATTTTGAAAAAGAAAAAAATGGTTATATTTCTTCATCTTAAATCTATTTAAGATTCTACAGAACTGATATTCAAGATTTAAAACGTTTTAATTTATTAATTTAAATTCTCTTAAATTACAATAAAATGCAAAATCCAAGAAAATATGAGAATACGTTGCCTACTTTACGATCATTGAAATAGTAAGAAGTAGCTGCTTCCCAAGTCCAATGATTGTATGGAAAGCGCTACCATAGCAAACCTGCGTGCTTAAATGAAAATTTGACATTGTAAAATGAACAATGAAAAAGCAAATAATTATAAAAAATAATAATGTTCTCTTCTCTCTTCTTTTGATTTTTTTCTTCTTGTATTTAATTTGGATGAGTTCATTTATGGGGCAATATTGCCCTTGATTATGAGCCCAACAATAGTTTGCAACTATTTAAATGCAAAATTTATTCCCTATAGGGAATATATTGCTATTTTTATATTCAGCCTTTCCTTAATCAATCAATGTGTAATGAAATTAATTTTTTATTTTTGATGTATCAATTTTCTAGTTGATGTAAAATGTCGCACAAAATTGAGAATAAATAAATAATTATGTCTCATGTCATGATAAAGGGCAGTGCATGTTGCTGTTCATCAAAATCGGGTTGCCTCTCTTGTTGAAAAGCATGTGAGGGGATGATTGATTGTTTTTATTTTGACCAACTTGTTGCTTCTGATTTAATTTTAAAAATGCATCTTTCCCATGCTTGTTAAGATTTTTTTACCGTGGTTCCAAATGATAAAAATTCCTGACCCCATAATGTGTGATTGAGCTGAAATTAATGGCCATTCAAATGTCCAGACGTGTTCGCCTCTCCGATCACACGCTGCGTTAGAGAGAAATTGGAGTGCCGCTTCGTATATGTTTCCGTGACAAAATGAAACAAAAGGATTGTGTGTACTTCGTTTTTCACGAAAACATATACAAACATCAGCTCACGCTGCGGGATTTGCACTGACCCGAAATATTTCTCGTCCCCCTCGGACGTCGAGTATGGGAAAAAATAATGTATTAAGAAAGATATTTCATAGTCAGAAGTCAAGATGCATATTTTCCGCTCGCGAGAGCGACGAGATACCCGTGAAGAAATTAATTCAGTCCTTCGCGTGAAACATCTTAACTGGTCTCTGCAGCGCTGCGCAAAAAAGATATTTTCCCTCTCGGTGCACGCGGCGATAAAATCGTTGAATGAAATACGATATTTCATAAATTAATTTTCACATTAACAAGATCATTAAAGCGGTCGTATTCCAGCTCGAGGGCAGTGCAGCAGAAATATTATATATTAAAATTTGCATGAGTGCCGTTGCGAGATTGACTCATTTTTTCCTCATTTGTTCCTGGCGAGTGCACTCGTTTTCTTCTTAAACGCAATTATCCGGCTGACGGGTGTATTATATGCGTCGTTGAAACTTCACTTAAATATAAAGAAAAAGGAGCTTTGTGTGCATTGGAAAGCGTGGGAAAAGCGAGAGATACACCCACGAGTGCGGCGCATCGATCACAATGCGGCGAGAGTCGGGGCTAAACTCACGCGTCGTGCGCGCCTTAAAATCTCTCGCCACAAATGCTGTTTCCTTTTGTTTCTCTATACCGAGCGCACACACACCACGATTTGGATAATGATAAATGTTTCCAAATGATAATCACTTATTTCTGTATCATTTCACGCCCCGTTATTTTCGGAATTTTCCCACCGCCTGCCCCAATGCATGAGAACATGGAGGATGAGCCCAGCCAATTATCCCCAATTTGGGAAGTGACACCGGCACGATATTTCAAATGAAGACGACCCGTTTCCTGCAAAAATTTCAGGAGAAAGCAAATAGTTCTTTAAGGGAATACACTAGAAGTAAATATCTTTTCTGATTTGAATGCTCATTCTGTGTCATGGCTTGTACTTTAAAAACGAGAGTTTCATATTTGTCCGCAAAAATTAAGAGGGAGGAATTTCTGAAAAACTGAAATCTTTGAAAAAAGATAATTTGCGTTTTAATAATATTACATTATATTACACATTATAATATATGGTTTGAAATTGCATTAATTAATTGTTATCGTTATATATTGTTTTTAGTTTCTCTGATATACATTTATTATACTTAATGAATAATAAAAAAATAATATTTGTAAAGAAAATTGCAATGTTTATTTATTCTTGAAGCATGCACATTATAGGTTGAAAGTACGGTAATTAATAGAATCTATTAATGATGTAAGCATGATAGGATTGCAGAGAAGATTTTATAGCAACAACATATATAAACTTGATCAGCTTTGAAGAAACTAATTCTACAAATTTTTAACATCAGAATAACAACAGGAATTGAGATCGGAATGTTCTGAAAAGCATTTTCTCATAATTTTATCATGGTTCAGCGCAGAGATTGATGCAGGAATATGCAAACCATAATGAAGGAATGGTTTCATTGGTAACTGATTTGACGTTAATTTTTGATACTCCTCGATCTACTACGGCGCCCATTGCGATTACGGGAGCCACTGCGCCTTCTAGAGCCACTGCGACGCCTTGAGTGGCTGCGGCTCCTGGGCTTATTGTGTTGCCGTTGTTTGTATTTCTTGTTCTTCTTATTCTTAAGTTTACCGTTACGTTTCCTTGCTTTTTTGGTCGTTGGTGGCTTCTTTGTGGTGGTAGTTGTAGTTGTGGTTGTAGTGGTGGTGGTGGTTGTAGGTTTCACTGCAGCCACCTAACAAACAACAGCAAAGATTAAAATCAATCAGTTTTTTGAGAAAAAATATACCGCTTGTTTTTTTGCTGGTTTGACTTCAGTGTCATCATCATTGGCATATTCTTCATCATCGCTACGTTTATCCCGAGCAGCGGCGGCGTCATTCACAACTTCCTCCGCCTGCTATTTTGAAGTTTAAAATTTCTTTCGTCACTCAATTCTTCAGATTTCAAAATATCAAATTCTTACCTGAACTGCTGATTCAAACCCAGTTCCTCCGGAATCTGCAAAAACTGCAGCGGCAAAAAGCACCAACAAGTGCCACGCCCGCATGGTGACTGCAGGTCTTGTCAATTCTCAAGTTTACAGCATAAGGCAAACTTGCTGCGATCGTGCGGTTGGGCCTGTGATAATCTGTGGTGCGCACTGCTCGTATCTGCAGATTATAGATATCTTGCGATAATTTTAATTTTGTAAAAACCAACGTAAATATAGGCTTGTAGGGAAGTAAAAAGTACCGGAAACGAGATTACTGCACATTATATTTATCTATCTAATCAAATTGTAGGTAGAAAGACTGTGTAGCAAGTATAAAATTCAAAATAGTAATAAATCTTTCTGGCTTAAAATACAAAATAAGGCACGATGAAAATAAAAGTCCACAATGAACATTTTTCACTTTTAATTTAATATACTTCACTTTTTTCCCTTCAAAACTTGCCTCATCATATCTGTGAAAATTCAAAATTACATGGAAATTCAATGCATAGTCAAATTTGCAAAACCTGCTAAATCAAACTTCCTTCTTATGAGTTTAACGAAACAAACGTTGTAAGATTGTCTTAATAAACTTTTTCTTCCGGTGTTTATATTTATTATTATTATTTATTTACTTATTATAATTATTATTTTTTTTTAATTATTAATTATTAAGCGAGCTTTTTGGATTTAATTATTATAATCATGTAGACAACTTGGCTGCCAATCCACTATATAATAAATTTTGCCAGTTTCCATTTTTACATTAAAGATTTAATAGATATAATTAATGATATGCGCTTTTATTTAATATTTAAAAAAAATGCATTATATGATATGTGCGGTGGCGGCACTACTTGCTCGTCGCTTTTGCAGTAAGAAAGGCAAAGAGCGCCGCCGCGCACGAGTGGGAAGCCAGCGAGTTTTGGCGGATGGCTGGACCGGTTTTGTCTCGGAGGGATGATCACAATTGTGAAGCTCACACAGCATCTCTGAGATAGCTCGCGCCATGCCTCTAGGCGTGTGCCCGGGTCGTGACCCCCTCGTTCCTTTGGTTATGTGCGCGATGGGAAGAACTGAGGAATGAGAATCTCTCGCGCTCGCTCTTGCTCGCTCGCCCATAAACTTCTTTTCCCCACCTGCAGCCGCCTACTAAAAAGCCATAATCCGTAATAATAATATATGCAACCAACACTCCCACACGGCGCGCATTGTACATCATAAACTAGTCCGAAAATACTGAAAAAACAAAACAACAACACACGACCACGGCGGCGTAATATAATTGTAATCTTGATGAGTGGCTAATGCTTTTCCAGTGTACTCAAAACTTGCAAGCACGTGAAAAAAGTACTTTGCATTCCGACATGTCGTACCTCATCGGACAATCCCTCTCACTCGTGCATTTACATGAGACGTTTAATTGCGTCAAACTGTGTTAATGATAAGGAAACAATATCGCAATAGACCTCAAGTATCACTGAATCCTCTTGAAAAAGTGCAGGAAATAACATTTTAATTTATTAAAATTATATGCAACTTTTAATAAATGCCAATAGCAAATATATAGAAGAAAAACTCCAAAATGTGGAAAAATAAACTATAAAGATAATACCTTCTTAAATTTTATGAATTAAATGGTACTATATTTTTTTACGAGTTTCTAATTTTGTGAATACCCCACTCTGACCAAACTTGTTATGTTTAAAAATTATCAAAATATTATGACTTTTCTCCTTTGAATATATTTTTTTCTAGTATTTGAACTAATGCAATTGATAGCATTGCTTGTTGAACAAGGAAATTCTTTCATTTTATATAAAGAGAAAAATTATGTACACTCATCGTTAAAAATCATTTTTGCCAATTTGCGACTCATGAGCAATTTTCCCATGCACCTTTTGAGCGTTGCGTTTCCCCGTTCCGTGTTGAGTCATTTGCCGAGCTGGAAATTGATTTGATCTAGTTGTGCCTCCGCTAATGGCTCAGTCTGCCGTGATTTAGCGCCAGGTATGCCAGGTATGCCCTCCTTAATCATATGCCGCCCGAGATGATCAAATTACCGTGAGAATGGACCCCTTTAGTCGCAGCTACAACAACAACAACAGAAGAAAGAAAAAAAAAACAATTCCCATCGCGCAGGCCATTAATTATGAAAGAGATCCCCGCTCTCGCTGGGTGCACTGGCCATCGAAAGCATTGTTCTCCAGACCGGCCGTCACGTACCACTTGAATAATCAAAATAATTGACTCGACACATTTTTCCCCTTGCAAAATACACACGTAAATAAAATTCGAAAGGAAACGAGAAATTTCGTGTTGCCGCCGGCGATCTTCAAAGTTTATTTGGCACTTTTTAACATTCGGAAATTCCTCTTTCTCACCTTTAAACTTTTGACTACTTAATAATACCACTCGTGTTTCTTTTGTTCCTTCTTTCCACGTCCATTGTTTCCGGAAACAAAAAGAATAAGAATTAAACAAAACGAATGTGATTTGATTTATATAATAACAAACGGCCTCTCTGCGAAGTTCAAATTCTGAACATTTACAAATGAGCTGCGTGAAATCACAAATGCGCGGAGACCGCTCGCAGGTAGTAGTCGTTTTTGTTAATTAACTTTCCTCTCTCGGCGGCGCCGTCGTTTTGCCCTCGACTAATGCCGCTGCTGGCGACGGACAATAAAATGAATCTCGAACAATAAGTGGCCGCCGTTTTTGTACCGCGGCAGTAGTTAAGCGCTCAAAACGCTGTTTATGTAATTAAGCCCGCAATCAAGGGCGCCAATTTTTTTGTTGGCTCGCGCGAGCTGTGTTATTTTCCAAAAGGTTGCACTTAATGATGGATGTGTAACAAAAAAATAAAGCAGGAACAAAATTTTATGAACACTTTTTAGGGAGGCCCGTTTCTCTTCCTTACTTTTTTTTTATTGACAACAAAATTGCGTCTCTTGCGTGGTAGTAAAATAAAAAATATAAAACTGCTGCGCTTTAATGTTCGCTGGCCTTTATGACGTCATAATAGAATAAGCATCCGGGACTCACGACACTATTAACCATCAGCCAGCGGATAGATCACGACGATCCACGCGCGCTAAAAACACACATCGTGAGATGAGCCCTGGAAATAAATGGCGCGCGCTGTTATCACACGGCTGAGCACATCATCTTTTTTTTCGGCCGCCCCCGGGAAGAAAAAAAAGAGTGAGCGAGCAAACACATAAATCCATCATCATGCACGAATGCATTGCCTATCGAACAGCATCGTGAGCATCACAAATTTGTCTTGCCGCGCGCGCTCAGCAAAATTATAAATTACTCTGGCCGCGTTTCTCCTCCTAGATCGATGCGCCTTTTATCTGATTGATATGCGCCGCGACCTTTTCGCTATTGTCTGTGTGTAATTTGAATTGTGCACAGGAGATAATCAAGGAGGTTATCTCGAGAAAATAATATGCATAAAAGTTTGGGATATTTTGAGTTGATGCCTTCAGAGAGGAATTGCAGCGAGTGGAGAAAAAGGGAACTGAAGTGAGAGCGCCTGGAGTGGAGTGATATCTGCAACTGGCGTAACATGGGAGTCGAGATGGTTGACAGCTTTGCTTGTCGCGACTTGAGCTGCCCAAACCTCTTGTATTTATTTTATTTTTTGAAGAAAATATTAATTTAATATTTAATAAAACTAGATATTATAATATTTTTTTAACCAAAAGAGTTGTAAACTTTTTTTTTAATATTTAAAATAAAATTCTTTGTGTTAATTTATAATCATATATATTTATTCATGACGTATCATAGCACAATTAACTGATCAGAAATCTCTTTTCAAAGCAAATGCACAGTTAATTTATACATTAATCATAGCCGGTAAATTTATTTACAAGCACATACATTACAATAATTTATGTTCTTTGACAATAATTATATATTTCACAATAATATATAATAGAATTATACTCCCATGCATAACAGGCATTATATATTATAATTATACACTTAATCAACCGCTCTGATGATCAATAAAACTCATCAGCTAGTTCAATGTATTTAGTCAAAATCAACCCGGCCCCGCTTTTTGACAAACGGGCCAGTCCTGAGTGCAAATATTTGGCTTCAAATCAATTCATTAATTAATAAGTAGAATCATGGTGCTTTTTTTCCTTTTTATCTGCGCATGATGTCGTCGATGCTGAAGCTGAAGGGCTTGTTAGGAACTGACGGCTGGGTGCCTTTGACTGAGAGGTCCAGGGTGGGCTCGGAAGCCTCGGCCAGCAGCTCTGGAGGGAACAGGGCGCCTTCGACGTGCGTCAGGGCGTGCCTGCGGAGGTCGCAATTGCGCCGAAAGACTTTGCGGCACGAGTGGCACTCGTAGGGTTTGTGGTCGGTGTGGGTGAGCAGGTGGGTTTTCAGGTTGGAGCGCTGGTTGAAGGCGCGGGCGCAAACCGGGCACCGATGCGGCGCACTTTCCTGGTGCAAGATGCGGTGCACGGCCAGAGTGCGCGCCTGACAGAAACCTTTGCCGCACTGCGAGCACCGAAAAGGTTTTTCCTTCGAGTGGATGTACCTGGGAAATAAAAAGAAAAATTGAATTTTTGTTCAAGTGACGGAAAAATTATTCTGCAAAGCAGTAATTTCAATGCTGAAAATTTTAAAAATTATATTTAAAATTTACCTGTGGTCTCTAAGATGGTCCTGCCTGCGGAAGGCCTTTCCGCAGATGTCACAGTTGTAGGGCCGCTCGTCGGTGTGCGTCCGTTCGTGAATCAGCAAGTTGTAGCTTTTGGTGAATTGCCGGTTGCAGTACTTGCAGATGAATTGCTTCTTTGGTCTGTTGGACGCACCCCTGCCGCCCCTTCCTCGACCCACTCCGGTGGTCAAGGGCACCGGGGCGGCGGCCGGGGTCGCCGGATTGGCCACTTGGCCGCGGTAGTACCGGAGCCACTGGCCGACCAGCATGTTGTAGTGAAGACGCAGGTCCTGCGGGGGGTACTGCAGAAGGCTGCTCGCCTCAGGGTGCTGCTGCAGGTAGAAGGTTTGGTGCAGGTGGTTGTTGATGATGAGCTGCTTGTGGTCCACCACCGCGGGCGGCCGTTGCAGCGCTGGCTGAAACGCGGAACGTTCCAGGTCGAATGTGAATTTGCTGCTGGCGGGGGCCAGCGCTTTGCAAGGTGCTGCGGGGGGTGTGTTCGGGGGCGTCAGGGCCGCTGTGGCTGACACGTCGTTTTCTGTTAGCAAAATTTAAAATAAAAATTATTCAATGCAACAAAAAATAATATGAAAAGGATACAAAGTTATTGTTGAATAATTTTATATTTGTATGCGTATAAAAATTGCTACATACTTTTCTTAAAGAATTATCTTTTATCCGGTTTGATTTGTTTGATAATTCATTTCATTTTATTTCGCAGGTAAAATTATTAATACTCATGCACGGAAAAATTTAAGCCACGCTTCAATTCGTGATTTGGATTGGTGAGCACATTGAGAAATAAAAGTACAACAAAAAGTATTTAAATATAAAGCTAAAGCAATTGGATCGTGATTAAATATTTAAAAAAAAAAACAGCTTCTAAATAGCGCAGTGAAATTATATGATCACAAAGTAAATGGCCTGCATTAAATATATTTTTATTAAAACCCACCTATTTGCTAATGCTGATATTCGTAAGAAATCTTTGAATCTATAAAAATATTTATCAATACCTTGCATGCAATTTAATTTGTGAGAAAAAAACTGTGCAAATTAATATCAAGTAATTGAACAGTCTTAATTGTGTCATTCAAAAATAAATATCAATTGCAAGGTAAAATCTGAAAAACCCCTGGCAAAAATCAGCTTGTTTAAAAAAGAATTATGGGCGCGCAAAAGAGAACGGCGCGGCGGACGAAAAGCAAAATGCAAAACGCCTTACCTTGGACTGCATCCATCTCTGTCGGTGTCAATCAGAGGAGCTACTGGCGGAGATGCTTGCGACTGCCGCGGTTGCCTCTATAAAACGCGCTGTTCGTTCGGCGGGTGCGTGCTTCCTTTCCAGCAGTTGCAGCAGCTACCTGATACATATACAATAAAAAAGAAGGAAACTTTTTTAACACAAAATCCCGAGGATGCTCGGCGAGGCGCGCATGCGTTTGTGCCGCGGGTCCAAGGGGCCCGGTACCATTGGTCGCGGCGGACTCTTTCTCTATCAGCACCGCCTACCTATTTATTAATGAGTCCAATATCACTCGCTACTGGATTGCGCAAGAGTTTCCCAACGCCGAGTGCCAATCCCTTCCGCCGCGCTCTATGCAAATCCCGTCCTCCTCTCCGTGCCCGCTTCGCAAGCCCTCGCCAAATAAGTCCGTGCAGATTTTCAACTGGCTCCCTGGCCAAAATCCATACTGCGCGCTCGCTTCACACAAAAAACTTGCTCCTGAGGCAGCCTTGAAAAAGTTGTGTCATCAAACGCAAAATTTACTTTTCATACTGAAAGCCACGATAATATAAATTATTTGTATTTGTCTTATCAGTGAAATTACAAAATCCTCTCTCGAAATTAATTTTTTTTAATTCTGAGAGGAATTACTGTTTTGTCGCAGCGATTATCAAAAAGTTTAACTATCGCAGCATCAAAATAAAACTTTTCCCGAAATAATACAATACATTTCAATCTGTTTCTTTCAAACTCATAGAAACAAATTTTAAGATTCATTTGTAAAAACTTCAATGATTATTCGTAATCGTTCAAAAAAGTTTGATGACTCTATATTCCAGCGAATTAATTAAGTCCGCAAATATTAATGCATTTTCCGTGTTTAGTAGAAGAGGTTAGATTTTGATTATCAAGGTATTGTTTATATTGAAGTTCAATTTACAAAATATGATTTATAATTATACAAACTTATCTAGGGACACTTGTTCTTATTCATAATCATAATTCTTAGTTAACCAAAAGCACTATCGCGAATTTTGTCGTCAGGTGTAACTCCACGCAGTAGGTGAGAATTAACGAAAGCTCGCATTTGCTGAGGGGAAGTGCGCGCGGCAGACGACTGATGCCGATATGGTGCGTTCATCATCAGCTCTCACAAATTGCTCTTTATCTCTGCGTAATCGTCGCTGCTCGCACAGCAGAACTGCGGGTTATAAATTCACTTTACAACGATATATAGATTTGTGCGCGGCGCCTTTGATGTGGCCGCCCGCGCGCATCACACAGCTATAGAGCCGCGCGCGCTGTCGCGTCCTGGGCGATATCTACAAATGACTCCACCCAAAATAATAACAACACTCACAGCACATGCTGCATGCGCCACCTTGGTTTAAACCCTTCCTATTGTGCTCCGTGATCCCGCGAAAGTCGGTAGAAGCATTATGCGGACTTGTTATTTTAAGTCTCTTGAATGAACTGATGATGATGCTCAACTTGAAAATCCAAAACTATATAAATAGAAAGAAACTCTTCTGAAAAAAAAATGATATTTTTATCTGAATAAGATATAATTTTATGACATATTGTATTGAACGGAGTTTTTTGATACGTTTTTTGGTTGCTTATTTGATTTAATCAAAATAAAATTAGATAATATTAGTTTTAAATTTATAAATGGGAAAAGATTTGAAAAAATCATGTTCAAGAAAAAGCTGGCAAATTCAATTCACCTATTCAGCATGATTCAACTTTAATTGTGAATTTCTTTCACAAAATATTTGCATAATTAATTTTTGCAACATTTAACAAAATTTTATTTCAAGCATAGCAAATATTTTTTTTTTTTCAAAAATCTGTATTTATTTTGAGATTAAAGTGTACAAATTAAAGCATTTAATAAAAAATTTCAATTCTAAAAACCACTACAAACTTTAAAACCTCAATAGTCGATAGTATTCTATACCCTGCTGTCTAATATAGAGTAACTTCAGCCCCTGTGTGTATGTTATATTTTTCATTTCCCTCTCAACTTCCACCACACCACCTTTTTTGGTGTTTGCCTGGTCGCGTTTATAATACGGTTCCAATAGTCAGTCCAAGAGTGTGAGCGCGGCATTGTGAGGCTTGTCAAAGAGAGGTAAAGATCAAAAGACGCCGACAGACACGACAACTACTTTAGTGAGCTGTGCGGTGATACACTTAATGTGAAAACTCACCCAATATATATTACGACGGGACAAAGAGCAGCACTTTCTATCTCAATATTACGGAAATTGTGAATGATGAGAGATTGACGCAGTGCAATTTTTAAATCAATAATCGTGTGGGCGTTGGTCAACAATTCTCAATTGTGATTCTTGGGAGAGGCCTTTTTATGAACAATTTTTCCTTGGTTTCAAAAATTAATTTTATGTGAAATAAATAATAGAGCTCTAAATTTTAAGTACATGTAGATAACAAAATGTAGCCTAATATTATGGTGATGAATATTAAAAAGAAAATTTCATCCTCAAAATCGATAAATGCTGTAAATTTTGCCATTTAATTTATTAACGTGCTTAATTTAGTATTTTAATGAAATTTTTAACAAAATTTAAAACCAAACGTTTTATTAAATCTTGGTTTGGCCAAAGGACTATTTGATTTTGTTTCTATATTATCCATTTTACCCAATTTCGGGGGAGTGCAAACATAGGATTAAACAATGACCGCTGAAAGAGCAAATATCACGCGCGCCAGCAGGAAATGTATTTATTGGTTTTTATTTAGATAAGGCCCCAATATGCCATCAGAAGCACGAACTGCCGACGTCCCCAGAGCTCCTCAGCAATAAACCACAATAAATTTTTACCTGCTTCCATTGCACTAGGCAGTTTTATTATTTGATGTTTGCACCGCTCTCTCCTTTTTTCTGTTTGCTGTGTGAATTTTGCAGCAATATCAGAGCAAGCGGGGAAACAAATAATAATAAAAAAGAGGCGGCGGCACCTCAAAAGGTCAAATAAAGCGATAAGTAAATTGCACTACCGCCGCCACAGATAATATGAGACCGTGCGATTGTCCGTGTAAAAAAGGGGGTGCGTATGATGTCACCTTGCACATAAATTCACTTTTTGCTACTTCATTGAATATTTTGTGTCAGATTACTTGGATTAAACTTGGTAAAGGAATGGAGTGGAAAGTGGAAGACCAGATTTTTTTTAAATAATACAATCAATTAGCCTGCAAGAAGCAAAAATTTCACAGATCAATAAAATAAATATATCAGGTTATTTAAATAGCTTCAAACAACGGCAACAATGTTCATGATCTGTATTTTTTTTTATTCCAGTATGAAAATTTAGAAAATTAATTTTTATAAAGTAACTATCGCTTTATAATTATTTTGGTTTGAATTTCATTTTCACTGAATATTATTTTGTGGTACTTTTTTTAATTACTTTTAGTTCAAAGATTCTTCAATTTATTAATAGTTATAAGTAATCAGAACCATAAATAAAATTCAGCCTAATTATCCAATTGGAGGTTGGTTGATATAATTCCTCTCTGCAGTTCCACAAGTGCCGATTGAAATGCCAGTCTTATCGTTGTAAATCACAATTTCATTTATAGGAAGCAAAATTTTAGCGAATTTGAACGATTTGCTGCTGTCAGGAGATGAGGGATGGATCAAAACAGAAGCCTGCGACTAAATCATCATGATAAAAAATTCAAATTTCAATTCAATGGATTAAACGTACCTTTGCTTTTCCACCTTGATGAATTACCACCAAATTTAAAGTGATTGGAGGAAATAGCCGTTTGTAAGGCACGTATAAATCATTTGCATAGTAGTAGTTGTTGTACCAAATAGTTCCAACGATGGAACCTCTTTCTCCGCATTCAATCAGCATTGCGCTCATGGAATATACATTTGGCACTGGTGGCATAATTCCTATAACTTTGCTGGGAACTTCTGAAGGAAGGCTAGTTGCCGGTGGAGCTATGTCTGTCACGATTGACGTTACAGAATCGTCATTATTAATGTCAGGGGCAATCGTCTCTTCCCTTACAGCGTATTTTGCATAATCATAGTAGATAGGACTATCCAAGTAGCAATACATTTGAGTGCTTTTCTGTCATAAGAATAAAAGCGATTCGATATTTTTTTATTTAATTTAATAATTAAATTTCCATTTCAATACCTCAGATAAGCAGAAGTCAATTTGGCAAGAGTCAAGAATAAGAGGCACTTTATCAAAATTGACCTGAACGATGGATCCCAAAATTCTATCATAATTTTGTATGTCCTGTGCAATCGATTTTCCCTCAATAAATCCAAGAGTTGGACTCAATGAACTCGCACTCACAGTGACTCTAGTTTTAGATATTTGCTGACCAATTTTTTCTTTTTTTATTAAAATTATAATAAAATAATAATAATTGATACCTTAGAAGTGTCCGCTCCAGAAAACGTTACCTCGTAGGTACCTGGCTTACGTCTGGTCGTAGTTATTGTCAATTGGACTCTATTGTTTCCATTGTCGCAGGTTTGTAAGTCCACATCAATTTTTCCTAGCATATTTTTACTTTTGGAGTTCAAGAGCGAGCAAGTTTTTAAATTCCGCTGCGTTTATTAGATAATAATTATTTTAAAAACTTTCAAATAGTTCCAGTCGCATAAATTTTTTTAAACTATTTCATTAATTATATTTTACCAAGAAACTGCACACCAGCGATGGCTTTTTCTTTTCTTTCTTTTGAGCAGAGTTAGCCAAATGAAAGCAGAGGATGGCAACAAGAAGTAGAAATGATTTTCTTGTGGCAAATTTTTTTTAATAAATGAATTTTGCGCAAGAATTTAATGTGATAACTTACTGGATCCTCATACTGCTTGGAGTGAAACTTTGCTGTGCATAAATTAGTATCCACACAACGTATATGGCGTTTAATTTTTGTTACAATCGCTTTCAATAGGTCTAATAGGGTCAATCGTGTAAAAATGCAAAAATACGGATGTTGTTATCTTTATGGTTTTTGAAGAAAAAATGCAAAACAATAATATAATATAATCCCTTTGTTTCTCTCCATAAGCATACAATTGAAACTATAGGGTATGGTGTAAATTAGATATAATTTACACCATTACAATTGAATTTTATTTCAAACGTGAAGTTGCTACCGCAAAATTAGTTGTTTTTTTGTCCGATTTTTCTTTCCAATTTTTTATATTTTTATTTTCAAATAATAAAATTGCAAAGGAATTGATTTACCCTACAAAATGAATAACATAGGGCAGATAAAAAAGTAAAATAATAATAAATAAATAAATGCGTCCCTTGAGAATTTTCTCACCCTCTTGGTCTAATTCTTTTGAGCCGGATTTTTTTCAATTTTTTTTATACACCGACGATTGGGCGCCTGCATGTATCTCCCCAAAATCTATGAAAAACATCACGCGTGACTAAAGCCCATACTTCTCACTCATTAGGGTGGGAAAAGTTTAGGGTTTCACTGTGTTGGCGTTTGCCACAGGTAATAAAATTATGGACAAACGCACGTCTTTCAAGATTGTGATTTACTCGGAGTTGAACGGATCACGAAGAAAAAAAATCAATGAAGTGCGTGGGAATTTTAAAATGGTACAAGTAATTGTCCTTGTACTTTTATATATTTTTATTATTGCAAAAAAATGTGAGAATAAATTAAACACGTTTGATTACAAAATGGCTCACTCGAGACTGTAATATGATGTGGGACGAAAATGAGTACGTCGAGATACTGCCCCTTGTGTAATTCAATTATCCAGCTCACGCGTTGGCAATTTGTCGAGGCCGGAGATCGAGATGGTCTTTTTCATTAATAATGTTTGGCAAACAAAGTTGAGCTCAATTTAAAGCAAGCAGAGACGGTTGCCTGTAATGCTGTGGTGCGTCGTCCATCGAGAGAGTGGCTACCGCCACCCTCGCTTTTATTGCACAGGGTGGATCATGCATCATCACATTTTATGGTGTTTGCTCGCCACAGCCAGCGCCCGATCCGCTCTTGATTAAATCCAGACGCTCATCTCTCCGTGCAGCTCTCGCGCCTCCTCCGCACCAAGGAGAGTGCATTGACAGAAATTAGAAATATAGATTTGAACATAACTAAGCTTGAATTATTTGAACGCCGCTCTTTCAACCTTTGAAATAAATTAATAGCATGATATAATTAAATTTAACTTTAATCAAAAACAGGACGCTTCTGCACATTTTTGTTACTTGTTTGTCTAAATAGGATTGATTTTTAATTTCGTGAACAAATATCCAACATGTATTCATACGTGCGTGAAATGTAAATAAAGAAAAAAAATTGTTTAAAGCTCCTTATACCTCTACTTCATTATAATGTTAATAAAATCTATTTAGATATAAATATTAGTATACCCGTTCATTTGGAACTCACAGAACTTCCTGATAGTAAAACGTTGTAGGCGGTAGCCAATTTTCTGCGTTTGGCTTCTGTTTAAGACAGTATAATTTAATTTTTTATTTTTCGACAATTATTGATATAAATCTTTTTATAAAAATGATCAAATCAAGTTTAAAAAAAGGGAAAAGCTTGATAAAACAAAATTATTAATAAAATTCAAATATTTTTTAATTCTATTAATAATAATGTGTATAAATAAAATTTACCCTAAAAACGTAAAATAAAAAACAAATTTATTTTTATTTTTATTATTACACTGAATTTTGCTTAAGTATTTAGAAAATGTTTTGTCATGCAAAATATGAAACTAGAAATTTCATACAAAATTAATAATATTGAAAATTTTTGTTTATTGTTTCTGGATTGCTAATTTTAACTTAGTGAAAACTGATTTTGGCATTTAATTCAATTTTAGTTTGATATTAAAAGCAGAAGTTTTATACTGCCTCGCGCGTAAATATTGATGGAAAATAATAAATTACGGCTATTACATTTCCAGTCGCGAGTGCGAAGTATGTGATCATGCAGTAAATAGCTGTGATAAATGCCCTGCTGAAAGTGAGGTCAGCTCAATTTTCTCTGGAAGAGAGATATGTCATAGCCGTTGAATCGTAGGTTGTAAAGTTGGATTTATTAGCGAGAGGACTCTTAATTAACACCGTGTCTGCGCAGCACGCCTGTGTTTGTCTAGCACATTGGCGTGTAATGAATCCATTCTCACTGCAATTACCCCGGCACAAGCAAGGCCGCTTTCGTTACTCTCCTATTTTACGACTGCCGTTTTCGCTATTTGTTTGACGCAAACTTAATCGGGGGAAAGATTTCACAAAATCCTCCAGCAGTTGATGAAGCTATAGAAGATCAGATTTTTTTATAAGAGCGAATAAGACTAGACTAGAAAGTTTATTGAATCTCTTATAATTTTAGGAAAAAGGCTAACTTAAATTTAAAGAGAGGATCAATTACGCAATTTTAAAAGAAAAATATGAATACTTTAAAAAATAATGCACTAAAAAATGTTGTGAATTTTAAAAAGTTGTTCAATTTCCGTTTTTCAAGAAGATCATTATTAAAAAATTAAAATGTGATAAAATGCATATATGTGATAAAATTAAATTAAATTTTTTAATTATATCAAAAATTGATTTCATATTGTGTATATTTTTGCATTGATCCGATTGCTAAAGGATGTGATACTGAAAATTTTTACTAGTGCAAAAAATATTACATTATAATAAAACATCATATAAAAATCATTTGTTATTTAAATTAATTTGGGAGACATTTACAACCATGCATATAGCACGACTTCCTCCACACCTCCGTGACCTCAGAATCAATATTTTTTATTAGCACTACAAATTGCAAGAAGCAGCATCAACAAAGGCCGCACACTTCCTCATTGACGGGGCACCGCGAAAATGTTATCTTCGTGGAAACGGGGCGTTGGCTGCCGCTGTGAGCAAAGCAAATTCTGGCGAAAAAGCTGCAGCCGGGAGACTTGAAAGGGAGACGCCAGCGAGGCACCCACACGGGGTAAAATGCCTGTGCACATACATATAATCTCAAATTTATGCAAATATACATTTGCGCGCAGAAAGGATAGAAAATAAAGCGGCGGCACAAAGAGCAGGGAAAACGAGAGACTTTTGCGTCAGCAGCTAGAGCGAAAAGTGTGACGGGCGCTGTATTCAAATGAGCAGGATGTCAATAATATTTTAAATTCAGTTACCAAGTCAAACTACAGTGCGCCGAGATTACAGAGCCGCGGGTATTTTCACTTCAAAGGGCGCTCGGCGTAATTCACTTTACCTTTCATGCAGATGGAATTGCCAATCTCACTCTCGTGCCCTTTGTCTCTCTCAGAGGCAATCTGAATTTTCCGCCATAATGTGGCAGTGGATGCTGCTGGGCTGGTTGGCCAAACGACATTATCCAACCATACTCTCTGTACATTCAAAGCGCGCACAGTCTCTATGTGCGTGTTTGTATATCACTTTCAAAATGATATGCAGCAGCGTCAACGCTTTGCCCTGGCTTTGTGGATGGCAGAGATATTATCTCGCGCGTGCTGCAGGGGTTGCTGCCTCTGTGTCTCTGGTGCGCGCGGCTAATTGCATTTCGAACATCAATGAAGTGGAAAACGGGCTTTAATTGTTGTTCGCATCACAGCTCAATCGGCAGCCCTCACAGGAGCAAAACCGTCCTCGCATAGAAACGCATGCAGGGAGCACAAAATATCAATATGAAATTGTTTTGAACTTTTCTAATAAAAGCTAAAAACTTGCATATTTTTATTTTTTATTTTAAAAGGAATTTTTAAAACTTTTATATCTTAAAATCAATTTTAAATCAACCAAGTAATACTGATTCATTGTAGTTTTATATGGCTTATTTAGATTTGGAAAGACGATCATTTTATGAATATAATAAGTTTGCATAATACATGTTTTAGTAAATCTAATTAAAAAAATATAGATATATAATATAAAAATTTTATGTTTATATCGTTCAAATGATATTTTTAAATTTTTTTTTAATGTTATTAATTTTTAATGAAATTAACATATTTAAATTTTTATATCTTTATTGTAAATTTATGTATTAAAAGGTAGTAGTCTTTACTAGTTCCAACGGTTATAGATCATATAATTTTATGACCTAATGTTATTTATTTTCATTTAATATTAAACGCTGTGGAATAATAATTTTAATATTTATTTCAATGAAACTTTCACTGTGCATGCGCCACACACCAGTACATATTGTTGTAATTTTAAATTTTAAAACATCATTGTTTCCCAGTATAAATAAAACTATATTATGAGAGGAAAATATTAAAAAGGGCTACTTTAATTATTATTTATTTGTAAAACAAAAACAGCACAATCAAAATAATAAAATGAATTGAATAATGGTACTCACAATGAAGCTATTTTATACAAATTGAATTACAGCCCAAACATTTTTCCAAACTCTAAAGCCTTCCCTGCCCTCCAAAAACCCACTGACAATGAAAGTAATTGAAAATTTTTTACTCATGTAAACAACAAGCATAAAAATGCAAAAGACCTGGAAATTGAAAATAAAAGCTAAATTAGTAAGTTAATAATAATTTAGTCAAATTAGATTAGAATAGTTCACCATTAATACTAAATTGAGAGCAGGCGGATACAATTAGTTTCAGAATTACAGATAAACAACACATTTAATTCGTTTCTTTAATAAATCAAAAGAATTAGAGCAAACATGGAAAGAGCAGCTCTCATTATCTTAATGAAAAGGTTGAAATCATATCAAAAATATTTAATGGTACGGTTCACTCATCGCCAAAACTTGTGATTATATAACCTTGCATGGAGGAGCGCATGAAACAAAAGTCGGGGAAACACAGTCTGCACCGCGAGTAATTACGGCAATATAGAGACTCGGCTAATTTGCTCAGCGCTGACGTTGATGAATTTACTCTGCCGAATGGAAAACCATCAAAAGCCCCGCGAGAGCTGCAACTGCATGATAGGCCATCTCGTGAAAAATGATGATAAAGGCACCATAAACTGCGGGCGAGTATAAATTTGCCACTTAATAACACTGCCCGATTTTACTCTGCTACTAATGTCTGGCGGGTGGCCTAAATATTTGGATCGGCGCCTGCTGATGGTCCATAAGGGTTCGGCGGGGCGCCCCGCAGTCCCGCCCTCAGCGGCGCCTTCAGCTAATAACACCCAATATTACGCACGCTCTACCTGTTCCGGAGACGAACCTGCTCCTTAATTAAAAGCGAGGCAAAAAATCAAGAGTCGGCCGCGAATACGAGGAAAGCGCTTCCTTTTTAATTTATCTCTCCGTTTTCTGCGTAATTTTAATTTCGCTGCTGAGTTCTGTGTTTTCGCGCTTTGATATTTAGTCTCGTGAGAACTTTTTCCTATATTCACCAGCCTGGCTCCACCGTAATGATAGGTATTACAAAAATGATTCCAACTGCTGCAGGAAGGTGCGCATTATTTTCTTTCTTTCTTTATTGGCGGCGTTTAGTTGGGGAGGACCACTGATTTTAGGGACCCTTGCAATTGAAGGTTTCTTTTAATCACTTGTTTGTCTGCACGTGATGGAATGACTGCCGCGATTTTTGACTGCACCAATTTCTCTAACCAGATTGATGGGGGTCAGAAAATATGGAGCAATCATACAATTATCAATATTTATGCGAAGGATTTCTTTTAAAAGGGCTCATAATATTATTTAAAGAAGTGTATAGAATAATTTTTTTTTCATATATGGACACTCTGATTTTGTCACAGTAACTTTTATCGGATTTTAAGAGAATTTTATTAGTTATTTTATTTGACGCCCCCGCCGTTGATGTTCCCACAAGGAGGCCACATTTGTATGTTAAACTTTCTACTGCGACTAGGCAGTAAGTGCGTGCGTGTGTGTCAAGAGCTTTTTTCAAATCCTTTTTTAAGACGTGCCATAAATTTGATTTGAGTAGCTCTAAAAAGAAATTAGTCACACGCCCGACTTTCAAATAGGGATTTTGCTGCTGTTGGGAACTACAGCCCACTATGAGAGAGGAATATAAAAGCGCAGCGAGATTTAACTTGCACATGGAACCATCAATGTTAGGAACATAATAAATAACAAACAAACAGTAGTGACTACCAAAATGATTACATGAAGAATGCATGCACATGGTTTATGGCTTCTCTGTTGAAAATTACTCCAGAATGTCTGAAAGAGGAATTGCTTAGATCACTCTAGAAATTCAACCAATATTACAATATATTAACCATTAACTTTTTTCTATCCACTGGCTGATTGTGAGTTAAATTTCGAATTATGTACACATATTTAAAAGATTTTATTCCCAAATAATTATTGAAAATATTTTGTTTCATCATTCTTTTGTATTTTTGAAAAAATAAATCGTAAAATATCTGAAACAATAATTAGATTTAGATGTTATTATTAACTTATTGTAATTTTACAAACTTTGATTCACTTGGGAACTCCAAAATAATTTTGTTACGAATTTTTTTTTTTATTTGTTATATTTATTTATAATTTATATATTTTTCAATCCCTAGATATTAAATTTCAAAGAAATAACTTTTTCACGATTTATTTTTATAAATGCGAAAAAGAATCATAAATAATTATTACAAGCCACAAGTGACTAAATAAGACAAAAGTTAAATTCAAAAGCACCCTCTAGGCAGCGAAGCAAGACAAGAGCGCTTCATATTCATACGTTTTTTCAAAAAGAAAACTGGAAAGAACCGCTAAAACCTGAGAGTGTGATGTCAAATCAATTGTTTGTGCCACAAATCTGACAAAAAGACTCGTTTTTCTACATATCATTTCTCTCCGATTATGCACGTCTTCGCTACAGTTTGTGTGAACGCACAGTTTGGAAATGAGTTTCTTTTTCTATTATTATGCAAGTTTAATGTGTGGTACAGAAAACGGGGTAAAGGCATTGGTTCCCACGCGTAGACTTCTTGTGTTTGTGCCTCGGAGCCGGGAATTCATCATTTATGATAAATTATTATCATCATCTTGCGCTCGGTCATCCTTCAAACATCGTGCTATGAAGGGGCACCTCGTCAGTTGCATTTTGTGGTGTGTGCCCAGCCGCGAGACACGTTAAAAATGTATTATTATAATCGCGGCCCGTTTCGCCGGCCTCTCCGCGGAAAATTGTTTGAATTTCACGTTGCGGCTCTGTGGCTCATTATTGCATTAGGACAACTGCTGTATAATCAGCCACGATTGAAATTACGTCGGCACAAAATGATCCCGGGTGTAAAACGCCTGGGATTGTTTAGTAAAATATGACCAATGGATCCGTGGACTCATCATTTGATTAGCCTGCTGGTTGCCCACAAGGCGAATTTTATATTTAGTTAGCTCTGCAACCCTTTTTCTAGGAATGTGAGCAAGTGACCAATTAATTAAATCGCATCTAATAGCTTTAATGTAGATATTAAAAAAAGTCATATAAAAAAGATGTTTTGCTAATATTTTTAAAGAAATTTTTTAAAAGTTTACTTTTAAGCATATTTTTTTTTTAAATTTTAATAAAAAATTGCATTTAATAAAAATTTAGAACATTTTATTCAGCACAAATTTGCATGATTATTTTTTTAAATTTCCTGAAACCAACTTATTTAATTAAATTGCGATAATTATTAATTTTTTAATTAATCAACAAAATCTCTGCAACCATTGGTAATACGACGCATGTTCATATTTTCAAATTGGTGATTGATAATTTCTGCTGCACAAAAAAAAGTCAGATTCAGATTTATCTTTTTTCAGACAGCTACACTTTTAAACAATTTTGTTTTTCTGTATAAAATAATATTTACATTTTATTGACTAGAAATAATTTAATTTAATTTACTTACAATTAGATCTTAAATTTAATATTTTGCAATTTTACTTTTTAGCACCCACTTGGCAAACTAGATATTTTTAAGCGTATTTTTGGTCGAAAATTTGGTCGGAGAAAAGTTTTCGCCTCAGAAGACCGATGACCTTCCATTACAAACGCAGAAATTGATATTATTTTTTATTCTCCATTCCCACTATGGCAGAAATATAAAAAACAAAAATTTTTAAGAAAAGTCAACATCTCCATAATTTTATTATTTTAACCCTTGAATGTTTGTAAGAGAAATAAATTTATAATCAATTGAAATTTTTTGAATTAACAATGACGTTGTTTTTGTATCTAGAATTTAGCCGTTGTCTCTTTGTCTCTTGCGGAGAATCGACGTGAAAGTTTGGCTGGCGTTGTGTTGCCTGTCACACACAATGCGCCGCGCGTTTCCCCCGACTATCCTTTGCTTTTTATATTTTGGAAACGCAAGCCATCCCATTCAAAATGCCAGGAAGAAAATCTTTATAAAAATATTAGTTGAATGATTTATAAAAATAAACAAACAAAAAAGCAAAACTTTGATAGCTTCATAGAAAGTATTTTTAACTGTCAAAAGTTATTTTTACGAATTGAGCACTACATATAGGAGCTTCTGCATTTATTATTCTATTGCATGCTGCTGGTGATAATGATATAAAGCAGGAGACAATTTAGCGCAAGATGGAGTGAAATTAAATTTAGATTATAAATAACAGCAGTAGTTCTTTTTGAGAGCTGACAAAAAATGAGAAAGATCTCGCCCATGCAATTAAATTTAAAGAGTTCCGACATTGCTTCGCTTTGATGATCGCTCTCGCGCAGCAAAATAATATGAAATGCCTCCGACCATCTCCGTGTCACGAAAAACCTGGTAGCATTTATTTTTATGACTCTGCGAATCAGCAGACAAGCGAGCTAATTGCGCTAAAGTGTCCATTTAATCTGAAATAAAGACACAAGCAAATCGACTATGCCATTATTTTATCATTAAATACCACTCAATACGGCAGCTCCTTCTATCCGTTCGCTTGTGCGCCAGGGTGGAATGGCATTTATTTTAAAATTACTTTTGACGCAAAAAACGGATCAAATGTGACGGAGATTAGAGCTAGAGAGTTTGATTTTTTGCATCATTCTGGTACATTTTAATGCGTCTGCGAATTGAGAACTAAGTGCAGCAAAAACTTTTAAACCTTACAATTTAGTTAATCGACTTAATCGTAGCGCCGAGGCGCAAGAAGTAAGGAATAATATTATCACAAATGAGAAATTTTTAAGGGCGGTTGCTTTATAATTTTCCTGCTAATTATAAAGTGACATTTAAAATACTCGAATAATTCTCAAAAATAAAAGTAGATAGCATCAGAGTTATAAAATTAGTAAAAAATGGAAACATATAATATTTCAAATAATATTAAAGATATTATGTGACACAAAAATGAAAGCATTAATTTAGGCAAATTATTTATTTTGCAAAAATTATATCTTCAGTTCTGTTTAAGTATAATTTTAGCGTTAATTGAAGTTATTTCAGGATTAAAATAAGTTTTAATATGATACAGATATGATATTTTAACAGGAAACATTTAAAGATAATGTACAGAATTCGAGAAATAAGACAATTTCAGTGAAGAGCTGATGAGATTCTAAGTAGTTATGCAACCCGCAACTTCTTTTCTCCGGAGCCAAAATTGAAAATTGAACGCGCCACACCATCTGCCGGCCAATCCTTGCACGAATCGGGCCACCCTGTCTGTTTTGTTGTGACTGGACTAGCGGCTAATGTCATTATAAAAATCGAATTAATTCGATTGAAACCTACTGTCGCAGACATGTCCGGGTATTCGAATTATAATAATGAGTGGGACGACCCCCAGCACCCTCAACAGAACGTCTACAGCTTCGATTTGTCGGGCGCCGACTTCGGCTCACACCCCCAGGAGTTGGCTTTTCAGTCCTTCGACCACAACCAGCAACAGCAACAGAACTATCAACAGGCTCAGCAGCCACCCCAGTACACCTCCAACCCCTACTTGGATCCTTCGGCCACCTCTGCACCCTACACGGGCGAGATTTTCACCCCTTCTATGCCAGCTGGGCATCAGGCAAGAACTTACATAAATATCTTAACCCAAAAATTTATGTACTCCTTCTGGAAGTATGTATTACTATTTTCCCTGTGTACTTAAATTATCTCTGATTTTAAATTAAATTCTTGATTTAAAAAACAACTGTTTAAATTAATAATCAATAGGACATTATTTTAAAATTTGCTTTTATTTCCAGGCTCATGGAACAACCGACTTTGATGATGAGCCACCCCTGTTGGAAGAGTTGGGCATCAACCCTGACCACATTGTGCAGAAAACCCTGTCCGTCTTGAACCCCTTCCGAGCGACCGAGTCGTCCGTCCTGCAGGACACGGACATGGCAGGCCCTCTCGTGTTCTGCCTAGCCTTCGGAAGTTTCCTTCTTCTCAGCGGCAAAGTCCACTTTAGTTACATTTACGGTATCGGAGTCCTCGGCTGCATGGCCATGTATGCCCTTCTCACCCTCATGACTGTGGACGGAACAACCCTGGGGGCGGTTGTCTCGGTACTCGGCTACTGCTTGCTGCCCATGGTTGGTCTCTCCGGGATCAACGTTCTATTGTCCCTGCAAGGTGAAATTTTATTCAACAATAAAAAGTCTCATTTTATCTTAAAATTTAATTTTTTTTAGGATTTCTTGGCATAGTGCTTACTGGACTGACAATAGCATGGTGTTCGCTCTCAGCGTCAAAGCTTTTTGTCTCCATGCTGAACATGGAGCACCAGCTGCTGCTCGTTGCATATCCGTGTGCGCTGCTGTACGGAGTATTCGCTCTTATCACAATTTTTTAAAATGTGTAATTAAAGTCAATTTTTGCACAGAGTCAATAAGGAAGATCAATTTTGGTTTTTTTTTTCAATAATTTATTCTGCACCATCTAATTACACTTTAAGAGGAACCCAAGTAAATGTGGGCTTTTTGCTGAACTCTTCATCACTCAACGCATGCAGCTCAGCAATCTATTTGTATTAAAAATAAGATGTTTGCAGTTAAATTACTAATTTAATAATCTCACCTGCCGCCTGACATACGAAACCAGAATTTCAAGCTCCTCTCCTTTAATGTCGCTGCTGTTGTCAATGTAAAAACGCCTCCACAAAGCACTTGCAAGAACAGTGTCGGACGACATAATTCCTTCGTCATAAGCAAAAATTGCAGCTTTCAGTTGTTGGTCCAATTCTTGGAGAACACTTCCTGACCTTGGAACCTGCAGAAAAAAATTATTTACGTGACTTGATTGAAAATTATTTTACTTCTAATTGTGAGCTCACGTGTAAGGTTTTTAATTTTTGTGAGCAATCGTCCCACATCATTTTGACCATAGAGTTCCTCATGTGTCTCCCATTGTTTTCCATGACAGAACATTTTGTCATGACCATCCAAACGTGCAGCTCGGTTACCAGGAACCATGAATTAAATGTGTCTGGCAATCCTAAAACTGCAGAAAAAATATTAATATTAATTCAAGCTAGAAAATTAATTATTTTACCTTTCACAAACTCAACGAAATTTGGTTCATTTGCACATTTTTCGTACAGCAGAACTCCCAGTGAAATATATTTCTGCAGAAAAATAATTAAAGTGATTATATAAGAGATAAAATTAATGTCCTGTGTAAAAAAATCTTACTCCTCTTGACGAATCGAATAACGATTTTGCTATTCTTTTAAAGAGTCCAGGCTTTTCTTGTGGTATGACAGCAGTGGCTGGTGAGGTGGTGGATTTGTGCCTATACAAAGTGGTGTTTGCTGAACTCACGACGGCTAATTTAGGAGTTAATGCTGGCAAATTTCTGTTCGCTAAAGGTGTCAAAAGTCTTGACGTCTGAAATTAAATTTTTAAATTAAAAATGCAAGACAAATTTACTAAATTAATTATACGTGATAAAGTTTCAGCGAAGTCCTTATCATTTTGCAGCCGGTCAGTCCTCAAAAGTATTGCAAAAGTTGTTTTTTTCAGTCCAGCAGAATCACCTGTGCTTGTTTTTATTTTTTATTCGCGACACACATTGCTACGGCAGCCACGCCCCCTTTTCCAGCAGTGCGCGCAGTCGCCATGAGCTGACGTCATTAGGGGAGGCAGGGTGCAAAATTTTGGAAGCCATCTTCGATCCGTGACGGTTATCAAAGGGTTATTTTGGTGACAAAATCAGGTGAGAATCCGGGTCAGTGGTTTGAATGTCGCGGAGAGTCCGCGGATCGATTAGGGGCCACCTTCGGACACCTTTTGACGCGACCTTTGTTTTCAGGAGGCGTTTCTGTCGGCGAGTATCTGCATTGGCCGATCAGACGGAATCAGGGAGGCTGCGGAACCGAAAGGAGCAGCCCCGATGCCAGTTCGTAAACAAGGTGGTAAGACCATGTCCTAAATAGGAATTAGTCGGCCGGGACGAGTGTTTTACTGGAATGACGAATCTCTCGTCTGCGGCCGAATGCATGTCCCTGGCGGATGCACTTTTTTTAAGCATAAAAACCGCCGCAATTATTTATGTTGTGTTATAGAGTAGAGTAGTGTGTCGTCGAAAGTCGATAAAAAGTTTTGTCCTGCTGCTTGGCTTGCTCGGAGTTGGAACTCGCTCTTCCTCGGAAGTCGCATGCACTGCCTGAGAGTGGCTAATTTGAGTGAATTATCTACCTATAGCTAGTGGCCTGTTTGTCGCACCCAGTCACGAAACGAGACTGCAGTGTGGCTCTCTCTTAACCCGTCCCAAACTCTTTATTAACGGCAGGCAAAGTGATGATTGTTTTATCTAATCAAGCTATCACAAATTTGAATAATACATAATGTGCGTGTCTAACCCAGGCAATTATTTATATAACAAAGTAATGTAATTGTTTTTTTTTCGGAGTGACTAATCAAACTAAACACACCTAACTTATACATTTCTAATTAATATTTTTACAGTACTTTATGAGAAAGACAGCAAACTTTACATTTCACGAATTGATTGCTGAATAAAAAAAAATTCAGAGGCCACTTACGCAAAATTACATCATTTTAAAGAGTTCTGCACGATTGACGTAAAAATTCAGTTCTGCAAACTGGAAGACTACACTTTTTTTAGTAAATCACTCGTCCGCTACTTTGTAATGTAATCATGTACTCTGCATGTTGTTTGTTGCTGTAATTGTAAACAGTCATCTCTTATCGATCATCAGATCAATAAACTGCACTCTTGCCTTGGACATCTCTCTTATTATTTCATTTGCCATTATTGAACCCACACGAATTACTAGCAAGTTTGTATTTAATTTTTCATTTCAATTTCCAAAGTAGATACAATAGTTTTAATTTTTTTTTAACAAAGACTGCTCGGCACTCTTTGTGTATTTCGTAGATCCTCTTCCTTTGATTTTTGCTTGTCTGTCTTTGTCTGAGCAAACAAGACACATTTCAATAGATCTGCCAACTGTGTAATTTGTAATTGGTGGAAGCTCTGTAAAACAAACTCAGCTAAAAGCATAGACGATGATGAATGGGGCAGCTAAGTGATTTGGACGACGTTGTTTGTTGTGTTGACAGAGGCCCACCGGGCCCTAGAGTTACTTGAGGATTACCATTCCAAACTCACCCGGCCGCAAGACAAACAGCTCCGACTGGCCATCGAGAGGGTCATCCGCATCTTCAAGTCCAGACTCTTCCAGGCGCTGCTCGGTGAGTACCAGACTAATCAATTATGAGTTTATTTGCTCGCCTGTCACCGACTGGCCCGCTCGCTTTTCTGGCACTCAACAGACATGAGGTTTGGAATCAAGACTGCTGCCAATTTCGTCTACCGCTTTATATTCACTTTGGCAATCTTCGCATTATGAATAATATAGTTAAAAAATATTATGATCTTGCCAATTATGAAACAAAAAAGCATTAGTGGTTAACAATGAAATTTGAAGTAATTCATTCATCATATAATAAAATTTATTATTTTTATTAGTCATTTTAATATCAAAGCTTTGAATTTGTAAAATTAAGCGTTATTATTTTTGTGGAATGAAAAGAGAATTTTTGAATCAATATCGATTTTAAGTTTTTGAGTGTGAATAAATTGTAAAAAAATTAAATATACTTTAAAAAAGATTTCCGCCATGGGGCTGTGATTATTAAGTATTTTTGAAATAGCTATTTATTATCAATAATTTTTTTTTTAATTTTTGAAATTAAATAGGTGCGAAACGATTAGATTTGGTAAATTAATCCAAAACGTAAATCTCTTCCAGAATCAAATCATATTTGGTAATAAACCTCACATCCGCAAACACCATAAACGTTGGTTGTCAATTAATAAACATTTATTCACGCGGTACGCAACGACACTGCCATTAGCGAGCCACCCCTGTCATTCGCGCCACTTGTTATTTCCGGACAAACCATCAGAGTGCGAAATTAAATCAAAACCTTCATGCGGCAAAATTCGCGTACATCATAAAGTTTACATTGTAGACGTGGCAGGTGCCAATTGAAACCCATCAAGCGCACCGACTAATTAATGGACAAACGTGGAACAAACGGAGTACAAAAAATACTTGGGCCAGTGCACGCGAAATTATTTTGGCTACGTGTTGAGTGCGAAGGGCGGAAAATCTCGGCTGCGATTTTTCCGCCGCAATTGTCTCCACGGGCGCAGAGTCCGGCCTGCTGCGACAGGTTTTGCGGAAAACGGGAAAATAGGCCATCTGGCACAAATCCGCCAAAGCTGGTGGCGCGCCCAGCCCTCGTCGCCCTTTAGTCGTGCTGCAATCTTTGGCCCTGGCCTGCAACTATCCCGGTCGATATCTATTGTGTGATTCTGAACCGCCGATAATTATCCACACAAAGATCACTTTCCTCTACATACAAACGACAGGTCTATTCACATGTCAATTTTCCGAAGCCCCACAACGGCAGAAATTTATCCAGCAGACACGCGTATTATTGTGAGGATGTGCTCTGCACTGTGTATGCGCAGGGTGTGCACCTGCTCTTGAAAGGATTCGCCCTGTGGGCTTTTACTTCAAAGGCGACATTATCATACAGACAAGTTGGAATAATTTTTCCTTAAGTTGCCTTATTGGCATGCAAATCAGATTGCTGGAGGGCGTTCCGCTGATGGAAGATCTTTTGTCGAAGCACATTAGCAATCTTAGTTGAATTCAGCGTGGTAGCGAGCATATTACCCTTTAACAATGCATTCCAATTTTATTATTGTTTTGATTGTTGAGATATTATTAAAATTTCATGTTGCACAATTTTGAAGGAGAAATTACAATCGGGAGAATTTAAATTGGGTTTAATTGGAAAAATTAAGTTGAGAATAGTGTTTTAAATTCTTAACTTGCAATTTTCAAAATATTTTAAAAAAAATGTCTTAAAATGAATGCGAAAAAAACTGAGGGGAATCATTGAATCGGATGAAAATAAAACTTTGCTTCTATTCCTTCTATTAACAAACCTTTTAATTATTTTTTTATGAAATAGAAACTTGAATATTTCATTCACATTTTCAATAACCATCGACATTAAAGGAGAATTTAAAGAAAAATACTGATATGTGATGATATTCTTCAATTATTTGTTGCCATCATTATTAATATTTTGGGCAAAAATATAGCTTATTAATTTTTTATTAATTAGAGTATTCATGCATCACACTAATCAAATATCCAATTAACATTTTATAAATTCATAATCAGATTTTTTCAAAATTTATGGTACGTTTAACATGCAATATACATTGCAGAGCATAAATCAAATTGTATTACATTAGAGAAATTGCGGCCGCTCTTAATGGCCGATTGAACAACAAATTGCTCATATCTCTCTGTGAAAAACGGCCATTTGATGATCCATCGCGCTAATTAAATCTGCGCCGGGGCAATTTTTTACTGTTGAAACGCACGCCAAGAGCAAAAAAATGGCCTGTGTATAATACCAGTCAGCTAGCTTGCCTGATTGTTCAGGAAAAATGCCGTTTTCCTCCCTCGGGAAATCACAATGGCAGTGAGAAATTATTTTGTATTGACTCAAGTATGCACAAATGAGCGGCATTTTGACGCAGACAAATCCCTGGATTAATCTCGCCGAGTCCGCATTTTGTTTTGACAACTCGCAGTTCTGCCGAGGGATGCTTTTGAAAAAGACGCTACTCTGTTATGGTCGCCCAGGATTAAAGTCGGACCGCATAGTGGGCGCATGAAGGAATTTGCTTCTTGGCTTGTCGCTTTGTGTGATAATCAGAAGCGCTGCACTCACAGAATCTCTGCAAAGTTGCAGGTCTTTTGGCAACTTAGGCGTACACTCGCCGCATGCCACATGGTTAATAACTAGAACTATAGAGAAAGCATGAGAATGTGAAACGCTCAGCTACTTAGTTTTGCAAATGATCTCTGGAGGGCAATAATTTGCAAGAGAATAATTTAAGTCGTAAACTTTAAATGAGAATTTGTACGTTAATAGTTTGAATTAAAATTTTAATAAGTTTGAACCAAATTAAGTTCTTAAGTCCAGTGTCGTAAAATTTCTTAAAATACTTGATAGAAAAATTTTGATATAAAAATGTTGAAAATATTTTTTTTTTATCAAATGATAAACATTTTGCTAAAAATAACATTTCATTTTTTTTTGTGACGTAGAAGTAATTTAATTTGGAAGACTTCTTGATTGTTGAAGGAAGATTAAATATTTGAAAGTCACAAAAATCTCGGTCCAAGCCTTAAATACCACCAAAAAAAACCCAGCACTTGTGAGCATTCTTTTTAGAAAGTCGGAAGCCGCCAAAGAATAATTGACACAAGCTTTGCGGATTTTCCGCACACTAATCTGCGTTGTAAATTACGTCGACATTCCTTTTTGATTTGTGCGTCTTCAAAGCCGATTTTGCGACGCGAGGAGGCACGATAAGTTAGAGCGCGCTGTATGTACTATTATTGGAAAGACCATCACATTATTCATGATCCTGCGCAAGATCATGCACTTAGGGACTTAGTGGAGCGTGCAAGGCAAACATAAAAAGCGGTGCCGATTCGCAGCCCAATAATTATATAAAATAATCCGGCCGTCGAGGGCGGATCTGCCGGCACAAGAGGGACGCAGAGATAAAAGAGACCATAATGCCGCAGTGAAATTTTCTCACTCGAACGCCATCCTTAAGAATTTATCCCTCGAGCAAACATATTCAGCAGCAAGCTCTTCATCCCTCTGTGTGTATTTTTGGCAAACTTCTTTGACCGGGCGGCAAGCAGACTATATAAAAAGGGTTAATATAAAAAGGCAGCCAAGTTGAAAGAGAAAAGTCAGCACAAAATGCAATTTCCAATCATCCAGTCCAAACCCAGAGCTCTCTCGTCGAAATCATTTCTGACGGCTTTTAATTGAGTTTCGTCTCCAGAGAGAATGGAAAGGGCAGCATTTATTTCGAGCGCATTAGTTCGCCAGCCCAACGTGGCAGCTTCATTAAAAATTTCCACCAGACTACCAGTGCATTGTTCTCCGTCAGAGCTCGATTTTAGTTATTGATCAGCAACTGGGGCAGCCGGCAGCAGCAACTGCGGGACTTTGATGTCTTTTTGTCTGCCGGCTGACTGACTGTCGGGTAAGCTGCAAAAAAGCATAATGGAAACGGCATTGTCAAAGCTTTGCCCGAGGAAACCGAGCTCTTGTCTTGTTGCTTCCAATTGAATTGCAAACTCGTACACGTATAACGCAATCAGCAAGTCTGGTGCAGTGAATTGGCAATTTATTATGCAAGTGCCAGCAGAACTTCGTGATAGTTCCATTTCCTCCCTCGACACCGACCAACTTCCGACGCGAGTGCATTTTCCTCCCCGTTGTTTCTCGCCTTTTTTACTTGGCACGCTTTTAGCACTTCCATCAGCTGCAGATGCTTTTGCTTTTAATCTATTTGCGCATATTTTAGCATGGCTTATTTTTCAGCAGCGGAAGTTCTCAGGATATTTATGAAGATAAAAGCTGCTTGATGAGCTCCGTAGACAGCAAATTGAAAAGGATGGAAAGCGCACTTTTTTACTTTAAAATTACTTCCAAACAATTTATCCAAGCAACGTGGAGGGTTCGTGATAATTTTTATATTGAATCAACTGCAGCCAAGAGGGCTTTTAACATATCCTTTTCATTCAATTGAATGGGAAAACACTTGCGGCGTCTCCATTCAATATGCATAAACAGGCCAAATCTAGCGGAGCACTCGACAAAAGCGATATGCAAAATAGTTCACCCATATTTCTAGTGAAAGAAAAACCCTGAGAGCGACTAGTAGTGCCAGAGAGTATCAAATGGTGGGAATTGCTGCCTTTTCAGAGACGGAGCCATTGAGTTTGAAATCCAATTGAAATCGCCCCAACCCTTTGAGCGTGCGGCAAACCACATTTCCCATCTCCATCCATCGACAGCTTGAGCGTTCGCCCTCTGTGTACATGCTTGGCCGTACAAATCTGTATTCAAATGGCAGCTTCGATTTATATATTTATCCCCCGCCCGTCTTATTGCGGCAAATAGAAAAGAAAAGAAGAAGCAAGTCATTACTTTTGAGTGTCAGCGAATACTTTCTCTCTGCGTTCGCCCGATGATGATAAATGCGCATACGTATTGGCTGGCTGAGAGTAATGGTGCTGTCGACGCCCCCAGGCCCCCGGTTCTATCTGCCCTCGCATTATCTGCAGCAA